TCTCAGGGTCAGAGTCCAAGCCATGTACACACTGATCAAAGAGAAGGAGTCTGTCCCCACTGTGAGCACTCTACAGGAAGGTCTGGTGTCCTCCAGCACCAACACAATGTGAACACAACTCACACATGGAACTTTCCAGGTGGACAGGTTCTCCTGGAAGGTCCCCAGCTCAACTGGGTGTGTTGACAAAGTGCTTCTTATACTCTACCCATGTCCATGTTTTAATTTGTGGCCTCTGATTATATCTTTATCCCAAAGCTTTAGTGCTAGTTTTTGAAATAACCAGAAAACCTTGTCCTTTGAGATGTTCCCCCCATATATTGGGAATGTGGCTCAGTGAATAGAGTTCCCACCTTGTACACTCCAGGCCCTGGGTTCAATTCCTCAACACCTCCAAAACTAGGGTGGTGGCACACTGGATGGGCAGGAGAGATGACTCCGTGGGTACAAGTGTTTGCCACCACGTCTGACCACGTGAGTTCAGTCCCGAGAACCCACAGTGGGAAGAGAGAACTGGCTTCCCCAAGTTCTCTTCTGACTACACACACACACACACAAAAACACACACACACACACACACACACACACACACACACACGCACGCACGCACGCACGCACGCACACGGCTGGTGCATTCCCTCATTTGCACATCACACACACACAGTAGTACTATAAACACCTAAAATAGTTTAACATTTTCCTTGATTATCTTTGTATGGCTTAACTTTAAGTACTGACGGTTTCTCCTCACAGTGTGGGTTTTGGACACAGGCAAATTCACCCACTGGAAGTCTGGAGGAAAACTGGACATAATGTATACACTTGTGTTTCTGTGTTCTTCAACAGGAAATCTTGTTTCCTCTTTTGATTTTCGTTACTTTGATTTCCTATTTCTGTGAGGGGATGGGTGTGTCATGATGCCTGTGTGAGGCTCAGAGGATAGCTTCTGGGAGTTGGTTCTTCCCTTCATGTGGCTTCCCTGGATCGAGCTCAGGTCATGAAGCTTGGGGACAAGCCCCTTCACCCCCTGAGCCGCCTCGATGGTCCCCTTGGAGACCAGTGGGTTTGGACTTTTGCATTTGAAGGTTCTCTGCATTCCTGGACTTGGCTCACAGGAGAGCCGGCCACCCTGACATTAGAAAAGGCGTTTCCTGCCCTGATGAGTAGCAGCATTGCCTTGGGTTGCCCCGGCCAGCGGGGTCTTCAACGGGGACCTAAAGGGAGGGCCGGCGAATGAAAGGGACAAGAGACACAAAGAATGAGAGCAAGACAGGACGTCTGATCAAGCCCCAAAATTTTATTTTACTCTCAAGGCATATATAGGTAGGCAGAGGGGGTTGCAAGCAGGAAGGGACTTAGTTATGGGCTGTTCGGCCAGCAGGAAATGTTGCTCTGAAGGTTATCTATCTACCCTTGTCTAACTGCCTAATTGCTT